ATTTTACGGGCAGGGCCCCTATTTGCCTTAAGTGTTTCAGGCCCGGGCGTATGAGGAAGGAGTGCCCTATGTCATCCATGGCTACGACTTCCTCATATGCTAACATAGTTAGCAATGTTCCGAGGTCTGTTACGAATAGTACTAGTACTGTCAACAAGAAAACAGACTTTGTACCTGCTACCACTTTATTATCTACAAATAACAGAGTGGATGATGAAGGTTTTTTTACACCCAAAAATAGCGCAAAGAAGTGGTCATCATCTGAATCTGAAAATGTTTCTAATGCTATTGCTAACTCTTCCTCTTTGAGTTCTCGAACCAAAAAGTTGCTTTACAGCCACCATCACCACCACCTAGAAAAGAAAAAAAGAAATCAAATATTAATAATAATAGTAATAATAATAAAAATAATAATAATAACAACAATAATAAATTAAAGTCTGCTGCTGCTGGGGCTAACACCCCTTCAGCAATTCCTATTATTACTCCTGAAGTAAAACAAGGCAAAATATCTTTATGTAAAGAACCCCCTCAGGACAGGGAATCCACTGCGACCCTGGCGGAATCCATGGACGCCATTGAAAACATCGCATCTTAACGAGATGCTGGGTAGCATGACTCCCTGTGGATCCACCGAAGGGGAGGGTTTCGGTTCGGAGGAGGAGTCTTGTGAAGACTCTCCGACTTGATTTTTACTTACCTTACGTTTTTGACTTTCCTGCATATATATCTTTTACTTACCTTTTTGTTCTTACCTTTATTTCTCACTTCCGTCATGGACCTAGTGATAGCTTCCATAAACTGTAATGGTCTTTTAGGACCGAACAAAATCCATTATTTAAATAATTTATTACTTCTTGAACATATATAAATACTTGATTGATGATCTCTCGCTTGAGACATGGGATGCGTTTAAGGATCTTACAGCACAATTTTGCAAAGAATTTAATAAGAAAATTCGATTACGTAAAGAGAAGGAGGTTTTGGACCTAACATCTGAGTATAGGGCTTTAATTCGCCATGAGAATGTTGCTCCAGGTAGTGGCTCTGTCCGAATCTCGGAATTAAAGCACCAGCTCAGATGTTTAGAAGACCTAAAACTTGAAGGGGCCCGTATTCGATCGAAGGCCGAGTATTTAGAAAATCGTGAAAACCCTTCTCGCTAAAAAAGAAAAGGATCGTGCTGTAAAAAAACATATAACTAAAATAAGAGACGGTAATAATTATCATACCACCAATAAGGATATCATATCTTCTTTTAGTAACTTTTATTCATCTTTGTTTTCTAGGGAAGATATTGACTTACAAGAAGCCTATAGTTTCCTTGAGGATTTGCCTTCCTTGGATGATCTTTCCAGAGACTCTCTGAAGGATCCGATATCCAAGGAGGAAATCCTCAATGCTTTGACAAACATGGAGAACGAGAAGTCTCCTGGTCCACATGGACTTACGAAGGAATTTTATCTTGCCAATTTTGACGTTCTTGGCGATGTTCTAGTTCAGCTTTACCATCTTGTTTTTGATGCAGAGTCGTTAACATCTTCTCAGAAGTTATCCTACATAACTTTACTCTGCAAGAACTTTGAGCATCCCGAGAGCGTCAAGAATTGGCGTCCTATATCTCTCCTGAACGTGGACTACAAGATTTTGTCTGTAAGACTTGGAAGGGTTTAAGATGACATTGTCGGGATTGACCAGACCTGTTCTGTTCCAGGAAGATCAATTCTCGACAATGGTCATCTGTTGCGTTCAGTTGTGGACTATGTTCAGGAGAGAAACTTACCTTTAGCGTTCGTCTGTCTGGACCAGGAGAAGACTTTTGATAGGGTCAGTCATGATTTTTTATTTTTAACTTTAAAACATTTTAATTTTGGGGCTAATTTTCAAAAGTGGGTACGAATTTTATACAGTAATATTTCCTCGGCTGTGATCGTCAACCAGCATATTTCTCGGCCATTTCAGGTTACACGCTCTGTTCGTCAGGGTTGTAGCCTGTCACCAGTGCTTTACATCCTGGTATTGGAATCCTTTTTGCTTCGTGTCCGTAAGGTTTTTTTGTTTTTGTTTTTTGTTTTGTCACTATGTGACCTTTCTGTGATATTGATAGGTGTTTTATTGTTTTAGTTTTTTCATTATTTTAACGTATTCTGGAGCTATATAGCCCGTTTGGTGCTGATGCTCCTTAATGCATTTCATTTCATTTCATTTCATTTCGTGTCCGTAATTGAAGATCGTTGGTCTTGCTATTCCGGACTCTCCACCGGTTATTGCCAAGCTATCCGTTTATGCCGATGATACCACGGTTATTTGCACTACAGATGCTTCTATCCAGAGAGTTTTTGACGTTTGTCAGCTCTATGGTAGAGCATCTGGTGCTAAACTTAATTTGTCTAAATCTAAAGGATTATTCTTTGGTAAATGGGCGAACCGTGCTGACCATCCCTTCGGCATAAGCTGGATGGATGGTACTAAGCTGGTGGGTGTTCCTTTCGGTGACGCCACTCGTTTTTGGAGGGAGCTTTTGGATAAGATTCGTAGTTCTTTGAATCTGTTCAAATCTAGACACCTATCACTTTTCGGCAGGTCTACAATTTGTAACATGATAGCTTTGTCAAAGGTGTGGTATGTAGGCTCAGTCCTCATCCCACCTAAGAGTTTCGTTGATAGAGTTCAAAGACTATGTTTCGAGTTCATCTGGCCCTCCAGGAACGAGCCTGTAAGAAGAGATGTAATGTATTCCAGTAAACTTCTTGGGGGCTCTGGGATCATTCACATCTCTTCTAAGTTGAAGGCCATCCGCATTATGCATATAGTGCGAGGCTTTCTGGGTTCCAGTACCAAGTGGTGTTCTTGGCTGAAATTCTGGCTGGNGTTACAGCTGAGGAAATATAACCCCACTCTTTGGAGCAACAGCCAGCCCCATGGATTCTTTTTACCTGTATTTTATGAATATGCATA